ACTGGAGTGTCCAGTCAGTCAGTGTGTCTGTATGAACCCCTCTCTCTCAGTGCAGTGTTAATGTACTGGAGTGTCCAGTCAGTCAGTGTGTCTCTATTAACCCCTCTCTCTCCAACAGGACCTGTCGTTGCTGAACTGTGAAGTGTGTTTGCTGGTGTTCTCAGTGACAGACAGGCGCAGTTTCCATCGTGCAGCACAACTCCGCCTCCAACTGCGCGAGAGTCACCCCCAAACCCCCATCATCCTCGTGGGGAACAAGACTGACCTGGTGAGGTCACGGGAGGTCAGCGCAGAGGGTGAGCCAGCTTTGTGTTGTGGCTTCATGCAATGAAATGTCTTTATACAGTATGTCTCAGTGGACACTCTGCTGTACAGGCTGGTCTCCCCTTCATTCTGATGAGGTACACTTTCTCTCTCCCCTGATCTGTGCAGGTTGGGGTACAGTCTGGGGTACAGTCTCTCTCCCCTGATCTGTGCAGGTTGGGGTACAGTCTGGGGTACAGTTTCTCTCTCCCTGATCTGCTGTGCAGGTTGGGGTACAGTCTGGGGTACAGTTTCTCTCTCCCCTGATCTGTGCAGGTTGGGGTACAGTCTGGGGTATAGTTTCTCTCTCTCCTGATCTGTGCAGGTTGGGGTACAGTCTGGGGTACAGTTTCTCTCTCCTCCTGATCTGTGTAGGTTGGGGTACAGTCTGGGGTACAGTTTCTCTCTACTGCTCCTGATCTGTGCAGGTTGGGGTACAGTCTGGAATACATTTTCTCTCTCCTCCTGCTCTGTGCAGGTTGGGGTACAGTTTCTCTCTGTTCCCCTGCTCTGCTGTGCAGGTTGGGGTACAGTCTGAGGTACAGTTTCTCTCTCCTCCTGATCTGTGCAGGTTGGGGTACAGTCTGGGGTACAGTTTCTCTCTCCTCCTGATCTGTGCAGTTTGGGGTACAGTTTCTCTCTGCTCCCCTGATCTGCTGTGCAGGTTGGGGTACAGTCTGGGGTACAGCTTCTCTCT